CTCTCAATCATAGTGACGGTGACGGTGACGTGGGGCCAAGGCACCTCCCTCAGGGGACTGCAGGTGACGCTGAAGTCCCCACCACCATTTACCCACACACCTGTACGGGCCCCCAGGTGCTCGCTCCCTGTCTCCACCTCCTCCTCTCCCCCCTCCTCCTACTCCACGCACAACACTTCAGGGACTGAATTTGTCTTATTTTGCATCTTTTCCCACAGGACAATCAGGGCAAAGATTACTTGTCCCATATCTTTGAGGAAAAAGACAAGAATGAGGATAAGAAGATTCAGTTCTCCGAGTTCCTGTCCTTGGTGGGGGACATAGCCACCGAATACCACAATCAGAGCCACAAAGAGACCGCCAGTTCCGGGGGACACCAGTGAGCCCGCCCAGCCCCAGGCCTCCAGAGACCCCAGAAACAATAAAGTGTCTCCTTCTCCCAGATACGGCCTATTTCCCGCTTTTTCTTTGGCTACTTATGCTGTCAAAACTGCCACTTCTTGGTGAGCCTCACTGTGGATTATGCATGGGTTGGATTAGCCCATAAAAGGTGCCAGCAGGGTGCCCTCCTGTGGCCTTCAGCCTCACTGGCCACCTCTCTCAGGAGGGCCTTGTGGCCGCCTCTGCCCCTGCTCCCTAGTGCAGCCAACATGCCTGGCCCCAGAGGCCAGCAGGACAGAGAATTCTGTGGGGCCCCAGCCACGCTTTTCCTTCTCAAGCGTGGATCCGCACCAGGGGATCGTGGAACTGCAGTGAGCAGGAGCCCAGGTCTGACCCATGGGTGCCCCACGCCCACCCGCTCCTGCCCAGCATAACCCCGAGGGCACAGGGGAGATGGCACCCCTGAAACAGGGGTTCCATGGAGGGCATCGGGGACATGTGGGCACTTGTCACTGTGAACAGGACGCTCAGCAGTGCCCGGGGGACTGGATCCCTTGTCCTGTGTCCTGGGCTCCTGGGCTGTGTCCTGTCCTGAGCATCTGCGTGTGTTTCAGCCTGTGTGGGTGTCCCTGTGGAGGGGAGAGAGCCACCCTGTCTGCTGAGCTCATCCCCAAAATGGTTCGCTAAATGCCGGGAGCTGGGTGTCTGGGGAAATTCACCCAGTGATCGGGGTTCAGGTGTGAGGAGCTCCAGCTAGTCCCAGAGTCCAGACAACCTCTGGGTGCCGAGTGAGAGGACGGGACTGGGGGGGAGCAGGGAGCAGGGGGCACTAAGGGATGGGCGGATAGCTCATGCTGAGCATCATAAAGGCCAGTCCCCTTCTTCTGCCACAGAAAGGGGCATGTCATCTCCCTCAGGCTCTTCGAGATCAGAAAAGGTGCTCGGGGCTGAGGATTTCAGAAACAAGCAGGACAGAGGGGCTGCCTGAGCAGAGCGCTGGCTGTCCCCACAGATGGGGGTCTCTCCATGGTGCCCGGAGGCCGGCCAGCGCTCACCTGTACGTCCAGGGCCACCTCTGGGCACGTCCCTGAAGCTCCAGCAGCTCCCCTCCTGGAGGCTCCCGTCATCTGCTGTCACTCCCTCCCTCCCGCTCACAGCCTCCCACCGACCCCCAGTCAGGCCGGCATTCTTCAGGGGGGAACTGGGCAACTGTCTCCAAAATCTCCTTCTGTCCCGCCTGCAGGAAACTGGTAGCGGGAACCATTTGTCCACTGGATGGCACGTCCACCTCCTACTCCCACCCTTCCATTAGCACCTCGGCTCTGAGACCATCACCTCCCTCCCCTGCAGGGACGTCCTCTCCTGACCACAGTGTGCAGCTTGCCATCACTTAGGACATGTCTGAGCTCTTCTTCTCCTGCATCTCACTCTCTGCTTGCTGCCGTCTGTCCCCTCTCTCCCTGGGCCTCACTCCACCTGCTCTCACACTCGGGGAGACCTGCTCCCTGGGGCCTTTTCACCGTCTCTCCTGTCAGGACGGTGCTGACCCGCCACAGAGGCCGCTCTCTGCTGACCAGGGTCTCTGGTGCTGACTTTCCTCTGGGCCGCCCCTCCCCTCCCTCCCCCGCCCCCCAACCCTCCCAGCCTTCCACTGTCTTCTCTCCTCCCGCACCAGGACGCTGGGCTGGTCGCTGCCAGGGCTCCCAGAGCCCGTGCCTGCCCTCCTCTGCTCAGCCCTCCCTGTCCCCGTCCTGGGAACCCAGCTCCTGAAGGCCCCAGTACTTGCAGCCCCACCCCAACATACTTTATTGTTTCCCGGTTCAGTTCAATTTTTGTGATTCCTCCCTCTGCCTGAAATGTCTCTCGATGCCTCGTCTGCCTGGTTACTGTCACATAGCTCAACAGAGTGTAAATGTCACCTTCTCCTCAGTGACTCTTTGGAAGTGGACACACAGAACTTCTCCACAAATAAATGTCCTTTCCTCCTTTATGCTGCCCGTCACGCTGAGCCCACTTGCACTGCAGGAGCCTCATCGCGTCCCACATGTGCGCACCTCATCCAGACTGGGGAAGGAAAACACGTACTTTAGCATCGCTGATCTCCAGTACCTGGCAGCTCCAGCTCACACTGCTTACTCTGACATCACTTCTTTTTGTTAAAATATGTTTGTTCAGATTCTGGTCCATCCCATCCAATGTTAACAGCAATCAAAAATGTAAAAACCTCCAGTTTCGAGGTCGGCTGTGAAACGCAGGAAGGAGCCTGGAAAGTGGGGCCAGGCTGAAAAGTGAAACTTGAAGCAGCCAACGGCTGCAGCTGAGACCACCGTCCTGACCCTCCAAAACAAGGAGACGTGCACGCCAGGCGGTGGCTGCGCCTCCACGCCCATCGCTGGTCCGCACCAGCCCGCGGAGCAGGCCGTGGCCTCTGAGGTGCGCCTGCCCTCCCTCATTTCCCCAACCTGCGTTTACTCCCACATTGCTTCCTTCAGCTGTCATAGGTTAAAAATCAGGATGAAGTGGGTAGACAAACACCTACTCACCTTCTGGTCGGGTTGAGGAGTCACACCCTAAAGGGACCTTGTGTGGGATCCCAAGACGGGCTCGCGTTCTCAGTGCTATGGCGCGACGGTCAGTTGTAGGACTCCTCTCGCTCTGTTGGGATTTGCTCTTTCGGTGCCCGTGTCAGCCCAGAGAGGTCATCTCCTGGAGGGCAGGGACCACGTGTCTGGTCCAAAGTTATTCCCCATTTGTTCTGAAATAGCATCGCGTGTGCCCTGGCAGGGCGCTGTAGAAGGGTGTTAGTCCCCGCCCTCCGGGGTGGGTGAGAGCGCAGGAGAGGCCTGACGGAAAGGGAGGAGCCCGGCCACCTCCACGACCTTGCTCCGCGTTGGTGTGCGAGGAAATCGCCGTGGCTCTGGTGAGACTGAAGAGCTTCAGGAAAAGGCCGCAGCTGAACGAGTGCTTGGGGGCTAAGGTCTGAGGGAGGCTCTGACACCAGAGGGGACTCGGAAGTGGTGCCCGAGGAAGAGGAGTGTGTGGACCCAGGACCTGGAACATTCTCTCCCCCCCTCCGTGCTCTGTGTACACAGAGGGGATGCCTAGGATGGAGTTCGTTGATGTGAGTGGAGCATGGTGGCATTTGTCACCCTGAGCATGTTGCAGGAACTATTTGCTGTTTGTTGAGCCCAAAACATTCTGCAAAGTGGAAGCCAAGGGGTGTCGGGGGAGGGTGCTCAAGAGCACGTTTTGTCCATGTGCTGGTGGGAAATGAAGTTAAAGGAGATGTGGGTGCCAAAGGAATGTCCTGACATAAAACGTCCTGCACAAGTCCACATCGGGCAGCTCGGCCCAGAGTCCCATCGTCCTGCGTCTCAAGGACTTCACATCTACAGAGCTAGACGGCTCCTCAGAGACAGCCCAGCCCCAGCCTGTAACTCAGGGCTACACCACCGAGGCCCAGGAAAGACTGACGTATTCAACACTGCGAAGGTTGTTGGTGACAGAGTGGTGCCTGCGATGCAGGTTCCCTGGTTCTCGGTGAGCACTCGTGCCGGTTCCAGGCCGTGGAAATTGCTAGACTGTCTTCATTTGTTTCCCCACCTTTACATGTCTCACGAGTGACATCACCTGGTTACACCTCGTTACATGAGCACATTCACACCCGTCACCTCATGTGATAACGTTGAGTATCCCCTGGGGAATGATTCTTACTCCTGTTTGACACTCGGGAAACCAAGACATGAGGAAGCGAGTGCTTCCCCTGAGTCACACTGGGGGTTACGGTGGAGCTGGCACTGGAAGTCGGGACTCCTGACCCTGAGTCAAGAGGTTAAGTGTTAATCACACTTTCTTACAACTTCTTACTTCATTCAACCCATGAGTGGGAGTCTGTCATGTGTCAGGACTGTCAAATCCTGTCCTGGCCTCAGGCAATTCCTCGCCTGGCTGTGGAGGAGAATACATAAATATTATCAGAACAATGTGGAAGTTGAAAAATAGTGATAAAAACTGTTATGGGATTATGTAAGAGGCAATAAATACCACTTGGGAGATTACAGAACCTAACAGAACAGGTGGCTTTCCATTAATTATTATATTCTGTTAGAAGTGAACAACCATAAAGGTAGGTTTAAGCAAGAATCCTTCTACAACTGGACAGGATCCTGAGAAGGGCCCGCGTTCACTCTGCTCAGGAAGCACGTGTAAACCCCTTCCAGGAGAGGATCCAGCCAGGGACTGCGATGTCTTCTGTAGTGTCCTCTCTGCGGTTAAGAGGAAAAAAATCATACTACATAGTAGGATTAGAGGGATTATTGGTCCTGTTTGGAGATTTTTCTTAGAAACAGTTTATATAGGTGTTTATTGCGGATCATTTATGAAATTAAAATTATGTAAAGTTCTATCTTTCAGCTTGTTTCCATGCGTAACTGAACAAAACTAAAACTATAAGCTGCTAGATCAAGCCTCGCCTGAAATGGGTTATTTTGATACTTCTCAGTTATAAAAACTAACAAGTTTCCTGTTTTGTTCAAGCCAGTTTGGGTTTTATGTTTCTTGCAACTTTCAAAGTTTTTTTAATTGATTTGAGAGAGAGAGAGAGAAACATCAATTTTTTCCCCACTCAGACTGCATCCTCTCCCTCTTACTCCTCCAAAGGAAGAGAAGAGCGATCATCAATGGCTATTAGCAGTTGCAAAAGCAACACCAAAAGTCAGCCTCATGGTCAGGACAGAACACTGTGCCCCCTCCTCATGGTTTTGGGTGCTCCACACATTCAGAGAAATCTCTAGTGATGAACTATAGAAATGATCCCTAAAGTATAGTCTTGAAACATCAATTTTTGTTGTTCCAATTATTTATGCATTCATTGGTTGATTCTTCTATGTGCCCTGACCCGGGATCAAACCTGCAACCTTGGCATATCAGGACAATGCTGCAACTAACTGAGATACCCAGCCAGGACTCAAAAGTCTTGATCGGCGTGATACAAAGCCCATGTTAGGTGAAGATTTTAACCGTGGGCCTTCCAAAATTGTCTGAGTTGGTTGTATAATGAACAGAAACTACACTTCATTTGAAGGATTTTGTGCTTCTAAATATAGTTCAAGCTCCTGAGTAGTCCCAAGTAGAAAATAAGAAAGTGAACCCCAGGCTGAAGCTGCCAAGTTTTAGAAGTAGCCCATGGAGAGAAGAAAACCCAAGTGAGGAAATTATTGCTCCAGAATTTTCAAAGGTAATAGAGATATTTTGCTCCACTATGTGTAAAAAGGAATATAGAATACCATGGAAACATTTTCTTGAAATTCTTTATATGATTATTTTAAATGCAGCGCAAGAACGTTTCCAGTAGCTGGACATGGTTGGAGATGAAATGTTTTTATAACGCAATTTCCACTATTTTCCATCTACACCAATTTAATGTCATCAGTTGTTTAAAACAGCTATTTTATATTCAGTTAAATGTAATATTTCAGTTCATATCATTTTCTTTTCACAGGAAAGTGATTCTTTGAAATTAAATCTAAAAATGTAAATCAGGAGAAAACAAATGTATTTGTACCTGAAAAAATTATAGGATAACAAATCAGTTCAATGATTTGTTTATGCAAGTTAACAAGTTATTTGATGACTTTGGTCAATTCACTTAAAATACTAATCCAGACTGTTCTACAAAAATTTTTTTTGACTGACTTTTACTCATTCACCAGCCCTCAGCCAGCGGGAGGGCGGCACCGATCAGGAGACACTGGCCCAGACGCTCGCCGTTTAATCCCAGTTCTCCCGTGGGTTCCAGTAGCACCTTGTGCGTCCCCATCGCAGCTCTCACAGCGCGTGTCAGAGCTTATCAAGCCCCAGCTGTGCGACAGGTGCAGCTCTCGTCACGCGTTGTTGGTGGGTTTGTCAGAGACAGAGGAGGTGTGACAGAGGGACAAGCGGACAGCCATGAACAGCGTGTGTTCCCAGAGCCCAGAAGAACAGATAAGTCCAAGAAGGAGAGGATGGCCAAGAAAACCAAGGCAAGAGAAGTGATGGCCACGCTAGAGTAACGACTATCCTTGTCCAGCTTAGTCTGGTGTTGGCGGCAGAATCTAAATGCTTAGAAAAGGCAGTGTACAAAGAATATTCAAGATGCGGATCTGAATCTGTTTGATTTGAAAAACTCATAACTTTTCCTCCACACTCGCTGTTCTCAAACCTTAGTATGCATAAGAAGCATCTGAAGAAATGCCTGTGAACGCAGGATCCTGTCTCAAACAGCAGATTTCTGAAGCGAGGCCTTGCTCTTTGAAGAAGCACCACCCCAGGTGATTCCAGCCAGTTGCCAAGGGACCCACTTGCCACAACACTACACTGTCCTACCAGCCCTCACAGCAAATGCTCCTGTCCTCATCCCAGCATCCACAGGGCTACCCCTCCCTCACCCACACATCCCATCTGAGGCCGGGGCTACAGGTCGGGGAGGGCGTCCACCTTTCCCTCCTGAGGTGCGGTCCTCTCTGAAGGACCATCGGTCACCAGCTCTCCTTTCTGTGTTGAACAAGCCCCCACATGGACAGTGGTGTGTGGTGGGCCCTCAGGTCACTGAGGGGCTAGAATCTCAAGCAAGAGTCTGTCTGGGGTCTTTGCCGGGCTGGTGGCCTGTGCTCTGCGTTGTGTGGCCAAGAAGACTGGGGGTGAGAACAGTGACCATGGTGCTGAGAGCCTTGGACCCTCCTGTGACCTTGGTTAGAAAGTAAGTGACCGTCAACGGCTTCTTTCCCGCTTTGCCTTGTCAGGGTCGAAAGGGTAGGAAATCAAATCTTTATTGAATCCCAAGTAAAATTCAGAGGCTTACATGTTTCACCCTCTTCAAAATGCAAGACCCCACTGCAGAGAGTTGCTAAAAATCTGCATTTTGCAAATTGGGGAAGGGAAGACCTGATGACAATACTTCTCAAACTTTGCCGCCTGTTACAGCCCCCTGGGATGATTCACAAACACCCAGTGCCCAAGCCGTGCCCAGTACCAGCTGAGGCAACATCTCTGGGGGTCCAGACATCAGTATATTCATACATTTTTGCATTGTCCCAAGTATTTCCAGTATGTAGGCAGATTTGAGAACCAGCTACAAATGGAGATAAAAACTGGCAAGTGCCGATGGCATTAACCCCTCGGAGGAGTCTAGCTTGGCTGGAGGAAATCTGGCCTCACTTGTGTTTGCTTTGGTGGAGCTACCTGTTGACCCCGCTGCCCGTGTGTATAATCCCTGGAAGAAAGCAGTCACATGAGTACGAGTAACCCGAACTACAGGCCTGCCAGCCCCTCGCTGTCTCTCCCTCAAGCTGGGCTTCTTTCTGCGCAGAAGCCGTGATGATGGGGGCTCAGGGGAGGCGCATGCTTCCCCAAGATCCATGAAAGCACCCACCTAAGAAAGGAAAGGCCCTCCCCCCTCCGTGGAAGAGTCTTCAGTGACCCTTCAGACAGGAGTGATGAGTCCCGTTGGGTGAGGTCCCAGTCACCGCTTGCCTGCCATACGCCTCCCCCAGACTCAGCAGAGAGGTCTTCGGTCTGGAGGAACTGGGGCGACCACGTCTACCTGGATCTCAGGTGCACTTTCTCCTCCCATGGCCCCAAAGGGGAAGGGGGAAAATGGTTGGTCAGCTTCTGGGGAAGGCAGGTACCCAGAGGCCAACAAAACTTTCCTGCTCATGGGTGCGCTCCCTGCTACACCCCGTCACGCCTCGCGCCCTGACTTCTCGAGTCAGTTCTACCCCGGAACCCCCCTGGGCTCTGTGGTAGGGATCACTGCAGGAGCCAGGGGCGGGCCACTGGGCTTCTTTTGTTTCCACTGGTGACTTGCAGGTACTTTATCCGTCCCCTGCCTCTTGGTGTCTCAGGATGGCAAACACACGACGTCCAGATTGTGAGTCTCCGTCTAACTGGTGTGCGCAGTGGGCTGCAGTACGGCTGACGTCCCACATGTCCCCTTCAGTGTCCGTTCTTAGGAACCACATGCTTCCCCTCTGATGTTGTTTCTCACGCGTGTTTTTTTTCTGCTCAGGTGTCAGCACCCACCAGCTGCCTCCCCAGCCACGCTGCGGAGCAACCACTCAGAAGCCAGCTCTTCCCACCACCTCAACGCTGCAGGCATTTAGCCCCTGAGTGTGCACTAAAGAATGTTCCAGAAAAGACTACAATAGCCTCCAAAATCTCTTTGGTGTATCTTCAAGAAATACCAAAATTTTAAATACCATTCATAGATCTATAATCTAAAAATGTAACTAATCTTTCAGGTTTTGTGCCCAAACCATTCCTTGGAAGGAGTTCTAAAAATGTATTTTAAACGGTTTTTTTTTCTTTTATTGTCTTATATTAAGCTTTATCACTCTTTGAAGGATGCCTATTATTTCTAGAACTAAAATTAAAAGTTTGTATCCCCAGACCTCCCAGGCCACCGCCACTACTACTGCTCCTGCCGCCGCTGCCCCCTGGAGCCGGGAGTCGGAGCCCAGAGGCCAAGGAGTTGGCCAGAGGAGCAGGAGGCTGGGCTGATGCTGCCATGAGCCACATGCTGGTACCAGGAGCCGGGTGGGCACACCATGCAGCACAGGGACCCGAGCCTAGGAGACCACGTGCTCACACCTGTCCACATACTTTACCAAGTTCAAGTTCTTGCTCTGAGCCAAGGCACCCACCCAGGAGTACAGAGAGAAGGTGCCAGCTCCGCCCACCCCTGATGCTCAGAGAGGCACCTGGGCTGTGGCTTTCGGAAGACCCAGAGAAAGCTGCCAGGGGACCTTCCCCCACAGCCCTCTGAACTCTCTGCCCTCATCAGGACTAAATAAGGGGGCAGTGGGAGGTCCTCCAACCTGTGGGCAAAGGTTTGACCTCAACACCAGCAGGGTTTATTTAGCACAGATTATCTTTGCAGAGCTGTAAGACGTAAAGAAAGGTAACAGGAGATCAGAAGAAAAATTAATTTGAAAGGTGAAAGCATGCTGTCTTGGGGGTGGGCTTTTGGCATCCCAGTGTTGCAGAGCTTTCTGCTGCCCTCTCAGATTGGGAAAGGCCCATGAGGGGGAGAGAGCCATGCTCCCAGAATAACAGTGGCAAACGGAATGCATGTTTCAGAACACCAGTTATGCACATTTCTGGGGACCTTACCTCACTTGTACCTGTAACAATGCCAAGTCAAGAAGGTATTATCCCTACTTTACAGACGAGAAAGATGAGGCTCAAGGACAAAACTTGTCTGAGGCCTTAGAGTCAGTAAATGATGAGCCTCAGTCGAGGCCAGCACGGCCCGCCTCACTGGTGGAGGGACAGCGTGCGAGAAAAGCGCCTGGAACATGCTGGTCGAATGTTTGTCGGACTGAGAGAGCAAAATCTTGATCCCACTCAGAAGTCAGCAGTTATTTCGTGGCCTCAGCATCTTCTCTTCCCTTCAGCCCTAAATGAAGAAAGATCAAAGGTTACAAGTTTGTGGTGCTTACAAGATTGCTTTATTATTCTTTGATAATTACCCATGTACCTAGCTAAAATTGGTGTTGTTAGTAAGGGCTTTCACTTAAAGTTATGCAGGTTGAATAGGTTCTGCAGATCTGGTTTACAGCAATGTGGCTGTAGTGGACAATGTTGTGTTTGAAATTTTCCAAGAGACTAAATCTTGGGTGTACTCAATATTAAAAAAAAAAGGAAAATTGTTAAAATGTAAGTGATGGATTTAGTGACTGGATTGATTGTGAATATTTCATCATGTATATGTATAGTGAGTCATGGGGTTGTACACCTTAAATATATACAATTTTTCATTGTCAGTGATACTTCAATAAAGTTTCAGAAAAAAA